TATTTATAACCTGCCGTGTATTCGCGCGTTAATTTTCCTTATCTCGCAGAATTATCGCGTGGCGTAGCAGCGAAAGAGAGCGTCGTCCGACCTACCCAGCCGTGAATTCCTCTCGGCCCGAATTCTTATGCTCACAGCTCGTTGAGTCGTTGATGCACGCGACCACGATCGCCCAATCAGTCGCTCTATTTCCCTCTCTTTCGTACTAATAACCACGGGAATCGTTTTCGGGCAATGCCACGCCGCGCCGCGCCGCGCCGTGCAGCCCCCCGGTCGCCGCATGGGTTAACCCGACGGAGCGTGAAACGTGCGAGAACGTCTGTTTCTGGTGGGATATCTCCCGACTATTTCCATTTAATTGATCGTCCTGAAACGTTGGCACGTATATGTGCTCCGTGGATCGAAGGCGATACCGGGACGGCGGTTTCAATGGGCACTGGACGAGCCAATTAGCTCCGTCCCAATGCTCAGGTACCCTCTTGCCCCCTCTCCCCCCCCCCTCCCCCGCCTCTCCTCGATTCTGTCCACCTCAAGGTACAGCTTATCCCTTCTCCACTTCTCTTCGCTTTCTTCTCTCTCTCTCTCTCTCTCTCTCTCTCTCTCTCTCTCTCTCTCTCTCGTTTCTGTCCCAAGTCAAACTCCTGGTTTATATGCGATCTGGAAGGCTTCCGGGCTGAAGCAGGACATTACGGGCCCCTCTCTCGCCTCGGACACGGGAACACAGAAAACCGGGGTCCTATCTTATCCGCGAAGAAGTTTATAGCCCGGTCGACTCTAATTGGGCGAGAAATCATCGGGCACTCCTTTTCTCCATCCGCACGCTCAAAAAGACTCTCACTAATTCACGATTTCTCGCGTATTATTGCCGGATCGCACCAGGTCCTCCCCCTTTCCCTCCTCTTCTTTCGTCTCTCTGTCAAAGCCTTTTTCTCCTGCTTTTTTTTTCTGTGGAGCCTTAGTAACGAGTAAACATCATTCTGAGAGGCTTCGACACTTTCGATATACCGGCGCTTAAATTAATCTGTACATTTAAATATTTTTATGCAGTGTCAACGCATTTGTATTTATTCGCAAGAAGCGTGAATTTAAGAGGAAACAAAATGTAGATGATTATCGCAGAGCGCATAATCGCGATTTACCTGATTACGCACGAACGTATCGCTCGTTTAATTACCTCCACGTTGCTGAACAAGATTTTTTAAGATTAATGCAATTAAAATGCGCCTTTGCATAATTTACATAAGCGATTTGTTTATTAAGGAAATATCTCTCACTGTGATAAAAATCGTAAAAATCCGCGCGTCGGATTACTCTTTTGCCTCTGAAAAACGTCGCGGAGCCGTTATCTCGGATAAAGATCTCGCGGCTACACAGGCTGTTAAAGCGCATAAACTTTTCGTCTTAGTGCAGTAGACGTCAACGCGTGATTTCGTCAATTAAGAGAAGACATTCACTCGCACCTCATCGTACATATATATATATAACGTTCGAATATTTTTTCACGGATCAACCGCGATGGCGTTGTTTAACGCAATTTACGGCGGACGACGAAGGCGGGGAACGACGTCGGAGGGGTAATCCCACCGTCCTAATTCTCGTTAACGTCCGAATATCTCAGCTTAAGCACGCTGTACGCAGTTATGCCCGGCGCGGTAACGCGCGCGCGATTCGGAACGAGCGGGCGAGCGCGCGATTTAGCGCGCGGAAAGCCCGCGCTACCTCCGCCAGGCCATATCTCATTGAGCCAAGGAGGAGGTGACTTTAACGTCGGCTTCCCCTTGCCCTCCTCCCCGTCCCCTCTCCCTCCCCCTCCCCCCTCCCTCCTCTCCTCCGCTCTCCTTCCGTGAGCAATCGCGGCTTGAGACGGGGCCGGACGTGCCCGCCGAGAGAGTAAGATCGTTAATCTTGCCGCGCGCCGATCGGGCGCAGATAGTAATTGTTACGTTCTGCTTTCCTGTGGCCAACCGTTCGACCGTGTCCGACGAGAGAGAGAGAGACTCTTCCAACACCCGAAGACCTCTCGGCTCGCATTTCCCTCTCTCTCGCGCACGCACCTCACGTTCTATTTACCGCCTCTGTTCTCTACGTGCGTGCATGTGCATGTGCATGCGCCCGCGCTCATCTTCTCTTTCCCTCGCCGACCGATCCTCCTCATCCATCCAACGGCATTAACGCCTTCGGCGTTAGTCTGTCTGTTGGCGCTACAATGCCGCCGATATGCCGTTTGCCACTCTTTCGCCGACTGTTTGCGTTGGATCTCCTTGGCCTGTGGCTAGCGTACGCCGACGACAGGTGAATGGAATCGCTCCGTGCGGAAGTTGAGAATCGATCGACATAGAGAACTCCGCGATTCGGAGGGTGGGTGAGATTATCACAATCCGCAATCAAATAACCAATAAAGATCTCAATTAGTCAAGAGAAAAAAAAAGAACAAAAAAAATTAATAAGTGAATTCTTCTCGATCGTTTGCATCTTGTTGTGTTCACGGCAGTGCGTTCACGGGTCGTTTGCAAAACCACAAAGGGGCCTTTTCTCTCAATAAGGTAACCGCCGCAGTCGCTATTCTTTCTTATCCTGGATTTCGTTATCGGGCATCCTCCATCTTTCATCTTCGAACAGCTCGGATTACTACTCGGACACACGTGACACGGTCCCTTCGAAATCTCATAGGCAGGTCTCATATACCACCCGACTTCGTGACTTCTCGCCTGTCTTTCGCGCTTTCTTTATCCGCGTCGAGAGACTGCCGAAGTCGTTTCGCTCACGCGCAAATAGAGTTCGGGGATCTCGTAAGATCTTCGTGCCGGATTCTAAAAAGAAGTACGTGCGTGAAAAGGTGCGTCGATCCGTCGGGTTAACGCCATTAACCAATCCGCTCGTATTACATGCTCGGCGACGTGATCTCGCCTTCTCTCCTCACCCTTCCTCCCTTGCTTCCCCGATTGGGGGCCCTCGGCTGGGTCCTCGGCCAACTCTTCCTCTACCGTACGGTGTGGATCCTCGGGTTCGTGGGGCCGAGCGTGGCCATAAATTCGCCACTCGCGTTGCCCGTTGACGCGGGCCGCGATATCCGAAATGTCGCGCGGATCCAATGTTTTCGTACTCCCAAACGGCAACAAGCGGCTCCATCGATTCGTGCCCGTGGAGGTGAGTGTCGCCCGGAGAAACCAGTTTTCGCGTGCAGATTCCTTATTTGCGAGCCCGACGAAACCGTAGATTCGAGTTAATCGTCGATGAGCCTTCCCTCGTTCGCGCGCTTTTTCTCTCCGCGCATCCTTCGGATCGGCACGACTCGGGGGATACGCGTCTCCTCGAGCGATTCCGAATTGCATATTCTGGAGCGTGAATTGGTTCCGGACGGCGAGATCGTCTCGCGAAATTGATATCCTTGCGACGTTGAAAGTAGCGAAATTTAAGTCCTATCGCGTACGATCTTCGATAAGGATCTGAAAGCGCGAAAGAACACATGACGTATGTAATAAATACTTATTTCAGATAACTTATGTACTCGCCAAGTGCAAGAGGAGACATCAAGATTATGTTGCTCAATTTCTTTTTGCACGGGAAATCAAACGATACTCGGCAAATCTGTACCACACATCTTATGGAACATTAAGCAGGAGACAACTATCGGCAATTTTATCTTTCTGTCCGTACTCGTTTCTCTTTTCCTCACCATTGACAATATGGCAGGTTAAGTAAGTACATAATACATTGCCGCGCGATCTTGGAGAATATCCGCTATGTTGGCATTTGCGAGCGGTTTAATAAGAGATAAGGACGGAAGGACTATTAGACTTTGGAGTATTAAAGTTCGCGATCCATAGCGGAATGTCTTGTATCGTGTTAGGAGATACGCGGAAATATATCCGTGAAAGATAATTGCTATGGAGCATAAATCGTGGAGGCATCTAGAGCTGTTCGCGTATTGATTACTTTATGTATTTACGTCCCATAGTAATTCCAACGTAAATCAGCCAAGGTATGTATATAGCGTATTATAAGACAAACATTTGTTACCTTCACATTATTAGAAAAACTACGTTCTCGCATTTTTCTTACTTGTTTCAAATTTTTATAATTAAATAATTTTCGAGAATGAAAAAAAATCGTTATTTCTAGTTTTTTTAGGATTTTGGAAGGAAATTAAATCGGTAAAAATAGAAACGTAGGATATTTATGTAAATTTATTTCAATATAATATATCTCATTGTGCGGATATCTGATGGCTCGCCGAAAACTGTTTTGCCTGTCGGAGACTAATTAAAAAGGAAATTTGGAAGAATTTGCAAGAGAGAATATGAGTTGTGACGCCATGTGTGAATATTTACAAACGATTTCATTTAAATAAACATTATTTTAACACAGGTTCGTATAGGATTATCTGTGTTTCTCGCTTACTTCTATTTCAAATATCTAGATTACGCACACCCCTAATTCATGAAGATTCGCTAGGACTAGTTCCGAATGAGCTCGTGCGATCTCATTCTTTATTCACGTATAATTTTTATACTCTACTCGTAACGAGCGGCTCCTCAAGTAGATTTGAGCAACCTAATAGCGTTTGCTTTTGCCACGCGATATGCATCGACCACTTATCTAATCAACAATAATAATTACAATGACATTGATGATGTTGCATTTTAATATCATACAGTACCACTTACTCGCATCCGCGACTGTAAGAAATTGTCCATGTTCGTAATAAGTAGTTCCATAGGTATCGAAGATTTCAACCAATAGAGAAGAGCCGAGCCCGACAATAATGAGAGGAGAGAAAAGATGCCTAGATACAGCGCACGGTGTCTGATGCCACCCGGCGATAATCATTGATTCGAGTCCGCTGTTGATATATAGTACTTCATCGATCTATCACTCGATCACTCGCGTGTCAATCGAACGTCAACATTGATTCCGAATGGAAGTAAAGTAAAGTAAAAAGAAAATATTTCCGTCACTTTTGCACTCATCAACGATCACCAACGTTAAAAAAAAAAAAAAAAAAAAAATAAAAGAACCGATGCGACGCTGCACTTGGAACACTCGGTAGTTACCGATCCGCGCCATTTGCCTAGCCAACCATTTTTCAATAAATAACCGTAACCTGCGGCCGCTCGGACAGGTAGCTCGATTTCTCGAGAACGCCACTCCATGACTCAACGACTGCGATCGATCGAAATCAAACTGGAGATATCACGTCTCATTCAACGATCGTGTTTTGTCAATTCCAACGGTTGTTGGTCAGTCCAATGATCTCTCCAAGCGACCGGTGGCGACGACGGTGCGTCCTGGTCGGAGTCTTGAACGTCAATTTCCTCGTCCTCGTCCTCGTTCTGATCGTAGCGTATCCTGTGCGCTGATCCCGGACGCGCTCCTAAACCGGACCCCTGCCGCTGCTCGTACACCGGACTGGTCGGTCTCGAGAGTTCGGACGAGTCGTCACCCACCAGCTGGCTGATCATCCGGAAGGCGCTGGGTTTCCTCTCCGGTTGCTTCGGCACCGACTCGTGCCTGTCGAGCCTCTCGGCTCTGTCGAGGCCGGCGTCCCTGGCCGCGGAATTAGCGACGACCGCGCGAAACGCGCTACTTTCGCCGCCCATGCCGGCGATGGAGCAGCTGGACGTACGCTGGCTGATTTCCATAGCGGACGTAGCGGAGTGCGGTTGCTGCTGCGGCGGCTGCGGCTGCGGCGGTGGTGGTGGAGGCGGTGGTGGCGAGCGTTTTAAGAGGTTCATGCGCTGGTGACGACGCCACTTTGCCCGTCTGTTGGAAAACCAAACCTAAGAGTCACGAGTTAGGTCGTTAGAACGCTCGTGATCAAGTCGGAAACGGGAAACGACGCGGCCGCCGTTGTCCGCAGAGTCTGCTTCAACTTCGACTAAACGTCAAATTAGACCCTGCGTCATCGCGTCGGCTCTTTATCCTTTATTAGATTAGATGGATCCTCACCTGAACGCGGGCTTCCGAGAGCGACGTTTTCGAGGCGAGACGCTCGCGCGTGGACACACACGGATAATGCGATCTCTCGAATTCCTTTTCGAGCTCTTCGAGCTGCTCCGGACTGAAGGTCGTGCGATTACGCCGGAATTTAGGCTGCTCCGAACCGTCTAAACTTCCGTCGTCCCCATCGCCGTCTGTACATTGACAGAAATATGTTTTCCATGGATTGTATGCTTTTTGTATACAACAATCCATTTCAATCTTTTACATTGACGAACTAATAAAATTTATAACTTTAAAGCAAATAAAGAATAAGAAAATCATCATTTTTATCGTACTTTCATATCATTGTTACGCGAAAAA